AATTATCCGACTGAGGAACGAATACTTACGGGAAAGTGCCTTCCGCACGAGCGACGCAAAAGCTCCAAAACCCTATCCGTTTGCAAAAATGAATTATCCGACTGAGGAACGAATACTTACGGGAAAGTGCCTTCTGCACGAGCGACGCAAAAACTCCGATGCCGATAACGTATATTATTGTAAAAGACTGCATCCGCAAGCCGCAGTTTCTCCACAAAGGTCGGCCGTCTCAGCGACAAAAGCTCAGAAAATGGTTCGCCATCTCTGAGCTCGAGTCGGATTCCTGCACATTCGAATCATCATTATCATTTGATTCTTCTTGCCAAAAGTGAACCTGGCCCATGACGGCGCAAAGCACTGCCACAAAGGCACAAGTCGCAAATCCATTTCCTGCAAGGTCGGCTTTTTGCCTTTCACTGAGCGATTCAAAAAGGTAAGGCGGAATCCCCTGCAACTTCAGCATCTCGGTCCCAATCAGGCACCTTTGGAGCCGTTTGCACCACACTCGAGCTCCAGGAAGGATAGTGAAGATGCGGTTTGGCTCCTTTGTAGTCTTCAGCCGGGACATTGACTGGCTCAGGTCGATGAACCTGGAGTTGGCACATTACTGGACAATAAAGGTCAATACAGGCAACCTGACACCCCCCAAGAGAAGGAGAGAGGGTTTGGCCACCAATTGTGGCCAATGTCTTGTTTAGAAGGACACAGGGCTTGCAAGGGTGGGCAGGGCAGAGGACAGCAACCCGGACACAAAAAAGCGGCCAGGGACTGTGGCCAGTATCCCTTTTTTACGCAGAGTGAATCCCAACAGTGAACTGTTGAACCTCCGGCGAACCCCAAACCCCAATCCCGCTGCCCCAAAAATTGCAGCTTCAGGAACTCGAAGAAATCATCGTAGAGCAAAAGCAACTCCTGCTCTCGCTGTGTGAGCGTGTGAAACCATGCGTTCTTGACGAACTTGTCCGTGATCGAGAAAGGCCACACCACACCACGCTCAGCAGCCGCTTCTTTGTGCTCGGATATCCATTTGGCCTTTGTATCAGTCGGGTCTCGGTCTCTCTCTCTGCCCTTCGTGTATTCCACACGCCGGGCAAGCTCAGCTTTCACAAGCTCACTGTTGTTGTCCTCGAAGAAGTGGCTGGCGGGCAACTTTGGCAACTTAAACGTGGTCATCCTCAGTTGCGTGTAACACCAGAAACCCAAACGCCGCAATGCCAACAAGTTATGAACAAGCACAGAACTCAGAAAAGGCTATTCACATAAAGCACAGTCCGGTACAAAAAACGATGACGGCACCACTCAGGACAGACGAAGCGTCAAGCAAGTGGCAATGGCCTCCATGCTTGACTCAGCATCCAGAAAGGCACGGCTGCTCCTTTCCAAGCCGACTATGTACACACGCTTCCTCGTCTGAGGCAACGAGTACATGTGGCTATCGATGCGGAAGGGCTGGATCATGAACGAACCGTTTGCGCACTCCTGTAGCATCTGCACTGCCACAGCAAGATTGCTGCCTTCATCAAGTTCATCTCCCATGGACACCACATTCTCCAAAATGAAGAAATCAAGCCGTGACTTGGAACTCAAACTCTCCACAGCCTCCAGGCAAGCCTGAAACGTTCGGACCGAGCTGGATTCCTTCCAAGTTCCATCACGCAAAGCATTCCTGACCAATCGGAAGTCTGAGGCGGCACGAAAACTGGCCACAAAACATGTCGCGTTTGGTTCTCCAAAACTGTCTAGCTTTATCAGCTGGAAACCAAACAGATTGGGTAGAGGAAAGGCACAGACAATACGGGTTCTTTTGAAATAGGCAAATGGACATCCAGAAATCCAAACAAGCATCTTGATTTTCTTGTAGTTGATGTTTGCCATGCTGAAACCTTTGCATGAAAATCCAGCGGTGAAGCCGTACAAGAGCTTTTTGGAACCGTCGGGAGACTGGATTCTTGAGTAGTTGCTGAGCATACCACATGTCGTGGACTCACTGTTTGTGCTCTGGCGCCGGTGGCACTTGCCTTCACCATTCGACAATGCAACTGCATCATCAAACACGCAAGTGTCACTCCCAGTTTTCACGATCTTGTTCAGCAAATTGTCTCTCTTGAACTTGACATTTTCAGCCATGAACGGACAGACCATGTCGATGTCCTGGCAAAAAACAGCGGAAAATGCATTTGCCACTGCCTGTCCGCATATCTCTGCAGCACCTGTTCCAGTGCACATGGACGACATTACCAGCTTTGCTGGCAGAGTAGTCAAGCTGCCCCAGCAGCAAGCGTCATCGACTTTCAATCCGGCTTGCTTTGCATCAAAGTGCCATTTGAGGACTTTTGCAAAATGCTCAGCGACATGTTCGGGGTAATTGTCAATGTCCAGTCGCGCTTCTTCTCCAGGAAGGTATACATACCTCTAGACTGACATGTTTGGGGCACAGGACTCAGAAGATATACGGTTACGCGCTTTACAATTTACAATATGGCTTGCAATACTGTGGCCAACCCTTCAAGTGCACTTTGCCCCAAAAGATTGGCAATTACGCATTGCGTTCAAAAAGTATTTGGCTACAGACTGAATGGGACACAAAGTCAAAAGTTAAAAAGTTCGGGAAGCAGGGCGCTTGAGGAAGTCGCATGCTTCTGGACGTGGACCACGAGGAGTTTGCACGCTTCCAGACGCAGCGGACACTTTGCCCTCTCCATAGTAAAGTGCCATGAGGCCTTCAACACCTAAGCGCAAATCCAATCTTTAATATGGCCCTGCTCACCCGACCGGATGGGCGCTAGCACATGTATGGACTACAGGCATGATTCCGAGATTCCAGATCACCATTTAGTTTAGTCACAGTCATTTAGTAACATATGGACCTTGGGAACTTCAAGCACCTGCACAAATTCCCCAATTTGATTTCTGGCAAATGTTTGATGAACTGGCTTGGTCATGGTCACTCAAATGAATGCCGAGAAACTTGCTGCGCCGGCAGAGGAAGAGTCCTCATCCACGTCCATGTCCTCCCCAATGCCATGGATGGGCCCCACTGCTGCAACTGCTGCTCTTTGTTGGTTGCTTTCCAATTCTGCTGGAGTGTCACGCTCATGCTTTGTTTCCTCTGGAGCTGCTACTTCCGGTTGCTGCGCAGGCTTTGCCGCTCCTGCTGTGTCATGCTCATGCTCATGCTTCGCTTCCTCTTCTGCC